TACTCATGTATCTCATACCTAGTGTTTCTTTTTAGGTTTGCTATTTTTCAAATTCTATATTTATTAAGTTCTGCAGGCTTGTTTGCACAACAAGGCTAAATAATTATATAAACTTTTCTCAATCTAAATATTGTACTTTGGTAGAATTAAATAAATAAGTGTAGTGCAGGTCTATGATGATTTTTAGTGCTACTATCATCTAGTTCTGATTGTGGTTATGTCTTGGTTAAGTCCTCAGTAATCCTGCTTTTGAACTGTTGTAGTCCTGTTTTAATTCTGGATCAGTTCTGGGTCTGGTTGAATTGGGGTTTAGTCCCTGTGTCTTGATACAGCCCCGACTTCGTTCTGTCTTGCTGCTCAATTAAAAAACTAGTTTAAGGTGTCCTGCATGTGTGATATATATATTTCCCTATATGAAGTCATTCTTTTTTGAACAAAACTCAAAACAGAGCCTATTAATCTTTCAGTCATTTCAACACCCCCCCCCCCCCTCAAAAAAAAAAAAAATCCCACATGCATACTACCCTTTAGGGCTAAGCCCGGGTGTTTCAAATGTCTGGCTCCTCCTCTGGTGTTAGCCCCAATACGTTTAGTTATTGATTAATGAATTGATTTATGTAAATTGGATTAGTGTAAGGAAATTGATAGATGGGAAGTTTTTAATTAAATAACATTTATTGAAATTCAAATACACGAGTTGTTTTAGTCATATTTTCTATAAGCAGGCCTGAAAAATGACAGAAAGCACTCACAAAATGTCAACGCATGAGACTTTTTTCCATGTCTTTTAATGTGCAGTCAGAGAAATGATTCTATAATTAGCAGAGGTGGGACCAAGTCATTGTTTTGCAAGTCTCAAGTAAGTCTCAAGTCTTTATCCTCAAGTCTCAAGTCAAGTCTCAAGTAATGTCAGGCAAGTCAGAGTCGAGTCTCAAGTCACTGGTGTAAAAGTCCGAGTCAAGTCACAAGTCTGAAACTTTGAATTTCAAGTCCTTTCGAGTCTTTAAAAAAAAAAACGAAAAAATAATGTTGCAGTTATGCTAAATGTAAATATTAGACCATGTAATTTTAAAATCTGTGTTTTTCTCAACACATGACAAAATAGTTAACTTAGAAAATATACACAAATTGTGAAATTGCACCTCTTTAGAATGCAGCTCAATTAAACCTAGCTCCAAGAATAATTTTCACCGACAGTTCTGAGATACGCTGCATGTTATTCTTGGATGCGGTTGTAGGACCGGCTTTAAAATCGCATGACAAAAATATCATACATATTAAAAAAACTGAATCACCAACGTAGCCTGGAAAACATTTGCTAGTTAGATGAAGTCAGCTATCTCATCTTAGCATATTTATATGCATATTTATAATCATACAGTTCTTGGAGTGAGCGCATACACTCATGAAGTTTAGTAACTTCAGGTCACTGCAACAAGCCCAGGTACAGTTTACCGACGGATGGGTGCAGGACCTTGAAATGCACCGTGTAGAACGAAAGACCATCGTACGTATCATAAGTTTACCAGTCTCACAAATTGTCGTCATAAATACACATTCTTTAACCGTTTATTAATATAACCTTTGAGCTCAACGGTAATTAATTAGTAGTGGAAATAATTTCTGGTAGCATCACAGAAATGTAGCAGTGACAATAATACTGTATGCTGTAATCGTACTGGGCAATTAGTGATACAAAAAACCTGTTTTATCCTGTGAATAAAAGTATATGTTTTTGTCAGTGTACCATAATAACAGAAGCGAAACGCAATATTGTGTCAGGACAATTCACTATTTATGCACAATAAATAAAGGAGCATAGCGCGACAATTTCTGTTCAGCGCCAGACTTGCTTGTAACCTATATCACCAATTATGTTAAGAAAAATGACACATTAACTACAACAGCAGACTGACCTCTGTGGAAATGCTTGGAGCAGACTAACCTGTGAGCTGGAGTGTTCTGGGACGTTATATTTGATCTTTGAATGGCTGCAATCCAGACCATCCGTCGCGTCTTTGTTACTTTGGAAACATGGCTCGAACAATTTCTCCTCAATGACGTAATCCGATAACAACCGATCTCTTTACCCGTCGGCTTCCCGTGGCTGTCATGCGACCGGCTATTGCAGTTAATAATACAACAGCTTCTTGACATTTTTGTGTTTCTTTTATCGCTGTGTGACTGATTTTAATTGAAAGCCTGCGTGCGCTAGTACCGCTTGCCACGAGTTCCCAGAATCCTTTGCGGTTCTACCCGTGAATGACGTCACATTTTCAATCTCTATATAATATGCATGTTAAATTTTATATTTGGGGTAAAATATCAAGTCTTTTCAAGTAAACCGGTTCAAGTCCAATTCAAGTCCCAAGTCATTGGTGTAAAAGTCCAAGTCAACTCACAAGTCTTAGAACATTTTTTCAAGTCAAGTCTAAAGTCATAAAATTAATGACTCGAGTCTGACTCGAGTCCAAGTCATGTGACTCGAGTCCACACCTCTGATAATTAGCATCAGCTTCATCAGGAGAAAGAGAAGACGAGATGCTGAGAGGAAAATGTAGGATTTGAGGGACCAGTTAATCACTTAAAAATGAGATGTGTTCTAAAATCTTTGACTGGTGATCTATATTAAGAATGACATCTATTTTACTACATTAAGAAATAAAATAATCTAAATAAATTAGGAATTTGCAAAAGTAATTAGAAGAATATTTCCATTAAAAATATACTTATGTTTTATTTTCTCTCCTGTCTGCTATTTGGAAAAGATGCTCTGGGCTGAGAAGACGAGAAATGAGGAAACTGACAGAAAACTCAAAGAGGTAAATCTTTTCACCCAAAGCGTTTAGCTGCTGTCATCTGTCTGTTATCTCTTTGTATACAATCCAAATTTGGAATTTTTTTACAAACATAAATTTTCCAGCACAAAAACATATTTCAGTTCATAGCTGTGATCTTTGTCTTCATCTCTCGTCTGTCCTTTAGTTGTTAAAGCAGCTCGAGGAGAAGAAGAAGAAAACTGAGGAAACACTCAATAAGGTAAATCTTTGTCTCCTGCTATTATCTGTTTTCTACGTGTTCAGGTTACAATCACACATGAGAACAAACCTCAGACACCAAATAACTGTTAGAGAAGCTCAAGTTTGTTCTCACTGCTTTCAAACTTGAAACTTAAAAACATCATCAAACACTTTATATTTACATAACACGTTTTAATTTACATTTAAACAGCTTTTTTTTTCTTTAGTGAAGTTTGTGATTGTATTGTTATGTCATGTCTTATAAAAGAGCACATCTCCAGTCACATGTCCTCTCACCTGCTGTTGGAGAAAAAGTATTCAGACTTAAACAATCAGCTGAAAAAACCAAAGTCCAGAAATCAGGGATTTTATCTCTCTGTTATAATCCTCCTGAATTTCCTTCTAAACATAAAAATGCAAAAATGTTTCAAAAAAAGACAAATGCTGAAAGTCATTAACTTGGATATTTAGCATACAGGAAATAAACATTTTAATTCCAGTTCATCGTTTTATCTCTGAGCGCACTCTCAGTGTTTTTGTCTAAGGTGACGACTGCACATTAGGTTTATGAATCTTTAAACTGGATCCATTTAAACAATAAAGGTCACTGCCCCACAGTCTGATAGAGGAGACGTTGCTCACACATCAAAGTGAATTTAATTTGACTGAACAGATATTCTTGCTGTGTGACTTGTAATTGCTGCAGTGTAAAAGAGACTCAGCAGTATTTATGTTTTTTTGCATCACACAATTAATGGATGCACACTGATCATTCAGTAGTTTTAGTAAGGTACGGTTTAACAGCTCACACATTTAAAATGTATTTGGCAAGAAGAGATTGTAAGGAAACTTACAAGATACTGTAAATTAAACAATCAAAGGCTTTCAGCTGATTTCAAACCAAATCTCAGATCATAACCTGTTTATGGGATCAGCACAGGTTACCATAGTGATTAACCAGGTAAAAAGAGAGAAACCTCTGTGACACAGAAAACTCTGACTTTAATGTAAACATGAAATATTAAACTTTGGAGCCATCCTCTCAAAAACTGCAGTGTTTAAGCAGATTTAACTCTGTTTGTGATGCTGGAGTTAAGAAATAGGTGTTCTCACTTATAGTTTGTTAGACCTTGTGTAGATCCATCTTGTACGAGTACAATATTACCGGTTTGTTTGGTTGGTTGGTGCTAATAGACATTAGTTTGTGTTAGCTAACTAGTGAAAAAACCTAACTACTAATCAGACTAAGACGGCACTTTTGTACTGCCCATAGCTGCAGCAATGAGATTTATATTAAAAAAACAAGGCTCTACTGTCCACTTTCGCTGTCCATCTCTGAAGCAGTCAGTGGTTCTTCAATTATAAAACAGGAAAATCCACCTGTTAGCTTTAAGGTTTGCAGAGCACTTGTTAGTCAGGTGCAAAGGTGCCTCACCTGACAAATAGCTAAAGTTTGACACTGTCACCTGTTTCATTTTTCTTCATGGGGTCAGGTGTACAGACTGAGATCTGCTAGGAGGTGGCAGAGCAGATGTTCACAAACTGTGAGCAGCACTATTTATGCTATATTCAGGTGTAATGTAACCCCCAGTTACTCTCTGGGTTAAATATCTTTTTCCAAACTCAACCAAAAGGTTTCCAACATAACAAGTTACTGTGATGTTTCCCCGTCATCTCTTTTTATATGGTACAGGTCCAGATACTGATACTGAAATTACAACTTGAAGCATGCATGAAAACAATCGTGAGAAACTAAACCATCAACTCTGCTGTAATAAAACAGAAACTATAAACAGACAAGAGTTTAAACTGTTGTTGGGAGGAGTTAAATGGAAATTTAAATGTTTCTCTGGAGATTTTTGTTTTTTTACATCAGGCCAGTTATATTTAAGTATAAGTGAAGCTGTAACTGGAGCTTTAGTGAACTGTGGTGAATATAGTTCAAATCCGAGCTTTGTTTTTATCTCTCTTCTGTCTTCCAGTTGGTAAAGCAGCTCGAGGAGGAGAAAACTGAGGTAAATCTTTGTCAAATGAAACACCTGCTATCATCTCTCTTTTCTACATGTTTTATGTAACAGGTTCCTACATGTGCATCATGGGTACATTTCTTACATTTCTTACTGAAGCATGATTGGAATCCTTACATTCATCATCTTACACTCACCTTAGATGTCCTTTGGTTTGTTTGCTAAAGATTAATTTTCTTTTCAACATCCATTAATTTCTTTTCTTTAGCCATAGCGTCTTAGCCATCTACTTAGATTTTTAAATCCTTGTTTATCCCGTGGCCCCAGATAATCAGAAGGATGGTTGGACATTATTTTAAGAATTCTGCTCTGTTTGTTTCTTATCTCCATATTTACTGTTGTTACTTCCTCATTTATCAATTTTCTGTTTTAAAAAGTGGCTCGAGGTTCACACAGACTTGGTTCTTTTTTTTTGTCAGAATAAACTTCTGAGCAGAAGTCCTAAAATAAACCTTTACTCTCATAGTCACTGAACTTTATACTTTGCTCTATAGAAACCAAACTAATATTACAGGGCTTTTGAGGGTGTTGGGACAAACACTTTAAAACTGTCTTCCAAGTTTAGTGACCGTAGTTTTTACAGGTGAATTGTATTTACACAAAAGAAGAACACGAACTGATCTCTGACAACAGGTTTCCCGCAGCAGCCGATTTAACTTTGGCTTTGGGAAATGATCCAATCAAAACTAATCCAGAAGTTGCTCAACATGTAACTGAGGAGTCAAAAAGTCAAAGAGCTTCATCATGGAGAAACTTGTTGTTTGTTATGTCACTGATTCATGTTTAAATAATCAGTTGTTCAACTTGTAACACTTTAAGTGAAGTAAGCAAAAGCTCTTATCATCCATCTAAAATTCCCAAATACTAAAGTTTTTCAGTCCTTGTTCAGTTGTACAGAAAAACTAATAAACCTTATCAACTAAAAATATGCTGAAAATGCACTGCTGATTTATTAACTTAATTTTGTTTTTTGAAAGATTTTAAACTTGTTTTAAGTTAGTAAACCAACTGATCAATAAAAATTTGATCAGGTAACAACTCCTGAGCCAAAGCACTATTCTGGGAACATTTTTGTGTCTATGTGTTTAATAGGGTTAATATTTTGTTCATTTTTCTGTGTCAGACAAATAGAATTGTAATGTTGCTGTACCTGTGTTATTGTGTTTCAAAACCATGTTTATATACGTCTGAGTTCAAATGTTAATTAAAGTGAGAAATGGAAGAAACTATGTTGGATTTTTAACGCTAAATTTCAAACTTATTACTAAAATAAATATAGTTCTAGTTTTTCCTGTGCTATATATAAACATATTTTGTTTCTTTCTTTTCCCATACATTACATTTTCACTGGGTGTCAGGCGAACAATAGCCAAGCCCGAGTGCATAACACACACACACACACACACACGTATGTATATATATATATATATATATATATATGTATGTGTATATATATATATATATATATATATATATATATATATATATATATATATATATATATATATATATATATATATATATCCCTCCTGAGGGAAAACAATAGAGGCAGCCGTTACACACGTATCCCAGCAGGCATACACTCACACTTTCTGACTGTGCTTGAAGACTGACGTGACATCAACTGCAATAATCCCGCGCTGGTGGAAGCTCCATCGCTCTTCTAAATAGCTCCCCAGATGAGCCCAGACGAGAAGCAGGTGTGTGGCAAGGACTTAAGGTGTGGGCAGTCCTCAAGCTAGGCCACGCCCCTCAGGCCTGAAGGTGCCTGTAACATGGCCACAGAAAACAGCAACACACACACAACTGCCTACATACGGATGTGGACAGAGATAAGAGGCAGTGCAGACAACACACCAAATGATAATAATAATGACAATAATAATAATAACAACAGTCATAGTCCCCACTGCCCACAGACCCCGAGTCCCCAGAACCGGGTCCGTGACAATATATATACATACGTGTATTATTCACATCTTAAACCACAAGCTGAGACTGAAATGATCACACTGAAGTATTTTAACTCTACTGTGAACAAACGTTTTCTCGTGCGGTTTATCTCTAAGAAGCTAAAATTACTCGAGTGTCTGCAGCATCTAAAATCACTACACGCTGAGTAAAATGAGATACTGAGAGGTCTTTAAACATGCTCAGCAGGCCTGTGGTTTTAAACTCTTCTGTGCATGACAAGTTTAACAGCAACCAACAAAGTCAACAGAATACTGCAGGAAAAAAAGTATATAGTAAAAAAAAAACTGAAGTCGAAGTATTTTTTACAATATTTGCAATCACCCGTCATAGTGTAGCTCTTATAATTGTCCAGTTTACTGCACTGTTCTATTATCTAAATGTTAAAACTTCCAGAACATTCTCCATTAGTCATCAATCAGTCATCTTTATATACAGATTAGTGATGGTACATTTGATTCTTTTTACTGAATCGAGTGTTAATGAGTCACTCACCAAAGTGAATCGGGTGTTTTGAGTTATTTGATTCACTGAGTCAGTTGACCAGAGAGTGCAAAAATTTAACTTTTTCACTCAAACTTAATTTGTTTCCCTTTTCATGTAAATCCCACTGCAAAGATGAATGAACCCCAAAACAACTATTTTATAGAGAAAAAAAGAGCAAAAACATTTCTAAAATTAAGCAATTTCCTATCCAAATTGCTTAATAAACATTTATTTCGTTTATTTGTATTTTATTAGTATTTTCCTTAAGTGTGTAAACTATATATTTTCTTATCTAAATGTCCACTGCGCTGTGAGCCAGGGGGCGGTAATGCGCCTTAACATTGGTTGCCAACCAAGAAGAAGAAGTGAGCCAGGAGGGAGGGACTGAGTGAGTGATTCGCTCGCTCGCTCTATGATTCAGCACAGGAGGGAGGGAGTGAGTGATTCGTTCGCTCTTTGATTCAGCACAGGAGGGAGGGGGTGAGTAGCTCAAATGTGCTGTTAGCATGTTAGCAGCGCGATGCTACTGTGAACCGAAGAGCTATTTCCTTGATGTGAGCTTCTACTCAGGGTTTTTTCTTCCAGTTCAGAGCAGAAATGCTTTTGTTACGAAACTGGCTGTTGTTTCCCCCCCACGATTTTAATTATAAGCTAGATATATTTCTACTAATGGAATTAGTTTGCTAACAGCACAGGGATGAGTCAGTGAGTCAGTTGGGCTTGTGAATCATGATTCACGAGTCAGTAAAGTGATTCTCGAGTATTGAACGATTCGTTCACGAATCGAACATCACTAATACAGATACCATTTTACAGATATGTCTGTGTAACACTGAGTTTTCTAAAGTGAAGTAATCCCACTAACTGGGGCGACCGTGGTTGGGAAGCGTATCTGTAACCGGAAGGTTGCCGGTTCGATCCCCAGGCTCTCTGTCCTGGTCATTGTGTCCTTGGCCAAGACACTTTACCCCACCGCCTACTGGTGTTGGTGCGATATGGCAGCCTCGCTTCTGTCAGTCTGCCCCAGGGCAGCTGTGGCTACAACCCTAGCTTTCCTCCACCAGTGTGTGAATGTGAGAGTGAATGAATAGTGGCATTGTAAAGCGCTTTGGGTGCCTTGAAAAGCGCTATATAAATCCAATCCATTATTATTAATAACAGCAGCAGAATCACCATCACAATGGTGAAAATAGTCCTCAACATTAGGAACACCTGGACGACAGAACAAGAAGATGAGCAGGTCTCTCTGTGAAGTGCTGCAATGATAAAAATACATCTGCTGTAAAACAAATAAGGTTCACCTTTAAATGACAGAATGGGAAAACTGATTGTCTCCACTTAATTATATTTAGCTACACTCTAAAATTATCATTTATTCTAGCTCTTAATTTCTGATTTAAAATGACTGAATTTGTACCTGTGACAGTCAACAAGCTCTCTGGTGATTCTCCAGCATCAAACATCTTACACTTGTAGAGTCCTTCATCAGACCTGGAAACTTTGTGGATGCTCATCTCTCCTGTGTAGCTGTTCCCGATGAGGAAGCCATCTTTATAGAAATCAGCCGTGAGGTTTGAAGTCTTTGTCTTGTTCCTGCAGCGCAGAGTCACATTGTTTCCCTCCTTGACAGGGACAACAGGACTCTCTAGGACGACAGAACCAGCTGAAAAACAAGACTTTTTATCTGATACAGAAATCTGTAACATTTCAAACCAAACAAGCAAAACACTGAAATAATAAGTGGAACAATTTTTTAAGTTAACAGCTGCCATGGCAACGAAATTTTGGACTCATTGATAGTCACTCATTTTAATGTTAATTTTTATTATTAAGAGAGAAACTTGCTCAGCTGTTTACCCCTGTTTTCAACATGTGCGGCCAGCAGAATAAATACAAGTAACACTGAAAAATTAAAGAAATTATCAGCCAAAGAGTTTGTTACTGCAAATATAAACTCGGTTACAAATTAACTTCTGCACACGACCTCCTGCTGAATATTTATAAATGATGACATTTTAATCTGTCAGACCTTCAGTGAGTTTTATTTAATGCAAACTGTGAACACACTGACAAACATGACAACGACCAGATTGACAGAAACACTGTAATTGAATAAGTTTCCAATGTTAATGCTGTTAAAACAATTTGTGGAAGTTTTATTCAAGTACACAGAAATATGTAAAACCAGAGAACTCACACATTGTGAAGCAGACAGCTGTAATCTTCATGTTGTCCTGCAGCTGAATGTCTGAGCCTGAAATACAGCTGCTCTGTACTGCAGATGAAAACTTCCTCTTCCTGCAGTTTGACTTCAATAACATGAAGCCTGACTCACAGTGGTTCTACCAGAGAGCAGGTAAAGGACAAAGAGAGCAGTTAGAAGTTTGATACTGACCATGAACTGCAAAAACAAGTCCAGCTGAAACTATTCTTTACATACAGATGAGTTACAATATATTTGTGTCTTTGTTTTAGGTTTTGAGTATTTATCGCTTCCTTTAAATTCAATCTGCAGATCAAACACCAGTTTAAGATTAATATCGACCTCTACTGCAGTCTGCACGTCAAAGTGTCCTTAAGAAAGATATTAAACGCCATGTTGCCCAAATGCATCCACCAGAGTGTGAGTGAATGTTAAACTGCTTAAACACCAAATGCTCTATGAATGTCTGTGTGATTGTATCAATGAGACTTGTAGTAAAAACAGCTATGAGCAATCAGTCAGAGTAAGAAAGACTGAGCATGCATCATCTATATTTATTCAAAGTATAAACTGTATTTATAAATGTCTCACATGTGAAGTCTCTTTAAACCACATACTCTATTGTTTTTATTACATGTGATTAGCTGTTTCCTATATGACAAATCAAACATAACCGTTTTTCAGCCTTGTTTGTATTCAAACACTGAGTGATGATGATTCTAAGGGCCTGTGACTGACTGGAATCTAGAACACAGGTGAACATTCAATTAGTCTTTTTTATTTTTGCTTCACAAGGTACTTAGAAAGAGTTTTGTTTCCTAGCATTAGTTTTGTTTTGTTTTTTTGCAGCAAACAATAAATCCAGTCACTCTGACCCCGCCTCCCCCTCCTTATTTCATGATTTGGTTTGGTCCAGGTGCTGCTAGCTGATGCTGAGCAGTAAGATGGTAGGATGCTTCTGTTAATAGTGATAATAGGAGCCTAAGTTTAAAAAGAAAGGGAGACGGGTGGAAATGAAACTCGTAGTGATGTCCACATAAAAGAAACTGCTTGACTTTGCTAGTATTAGATAGTTCACTTCACTTCTAACAGAAAAGAATGTGTTTGTGTTATTTTAGCAAACATGTAATTGGTGCAGGCAGACCCTTTGTACGTATACTGCAAGTCTACGAAATCACTGATCTGCCAACCTGCTGCCAGGTCAAACAGATCAAACCTCTTCTTCAGGCTCAGCTGTTCAACTCCCATCTGCATACTCTGTACACTGAACCACTGATACCTGAAGAAGTTGATGAGTTGTTTTATGTCAACAAATGAATAAAAATAATTTTTAGATCTCTGTCTTTGAGCTCCACTAGGTCTCAGGACAGAGACATATTTTTGTTGCCTATACTTTGTTTGAAATCTGATATACAAACAATTGTTTTAGTTATAATTGCCAGTACTTGATATTATTTTAAAAAAAATCTGATAAAGTTATAATTACAATGATTAAAATGTAGTGTCTTGCACATATTTCATCAGTCATACACAAAATCAATAAATCTATTTCTCTTAGCAGAATATTGATCCATGTCTGCAGAGTCTTATATTTTTAGGGCTGGCCTGGTTTGCAAAATTAATACCGTGGGGCCGAAAGTGAAATCTTTTT